AAAACTGCCAGTTTAGAAACCCCTGAATTTATAGTCAAGAAACATCCAGCTGAGACACCCAATAACACAACTCTGGAAAATCAGACCTAGGAACAGGTCAAAGTATTTATTAAAAGGAAAGTGCTTAGCTTGACGTTATACATTTTTTTGTAATTAAAGATACTTTCCTTAAAAAAAACAAAAACAAAACACACACAGCAATCAAGTAGTAGTTTTCTGAAAAATGAAGATAAAGTTTTCATCTTTTTTATCTTATCTGCGTTTCCTTAATGCGGTCTCCTCTGCGGCCTTTTACTTGCCTTTTGCTCCCATTTCTAGTTGCCGTGCATGAGTGTGTGCCTTTAAGTTCTGGCTGCTCGCCAATGCTTGGTATCTTTTTAATTTGCTGTGCTGTTCTTGCAGAACATGCTTCTTCTAATGCCAGCGATAGCGAAAGTAGCTACCGTAAGTTATTGCTTTGGTTTGTGGCTTTTTTCCTTTGCAATTGCCCCCCATTGCCTGTGGTGGTCATTTCAGATTTTTGCTGTTGTTGTTTTCATCTTCATCCAAAGCAAATGGCTTGAAATGAAATCATCCTTTGATGTGGAAAGATACAAAAGACACTAGGGCCCCCGGTGGACTCGTGTGATTAATGCAAGCAGTTCCAACCCCAGTGGACTGGCCTATGAAGCAATTCTCCCAGAGAAGGTGGGGGGAAAGTTCAACCTGGTGGGTTTTGACATTCTGCCCCCCGCCCCCAATCCCCAAATAATTTAAACTCCCTGTATGAGGGTTGAAAGTCATGGTTTTATTGTCCTTCTCCCTTCTGTTCCTGACCCCCTTTACAAGTGAAATCTTTCTAAATTACAGTGTTCCTTTTAAATCGAGCATGAACCTTTTATATCTCTTCTCTCCTTGATTACAATTTTAAGGTAGATACTAAGATACTCTAACATTATATGTTTGATGGTTGGGAAGTGATGAAAAAGTTTCATCCTTTAATGTTGAAGGGACTCACATTTTTTCTTTAAGTGAACAAATCTTGGATCAGAAAGCTTAACTGAAAAGGTAGGTAACTCCTTAAAAGTATCTCTGGTCTTTGTTTGGTTACCTCAAGCCATTTGCTTAGTGTATAAAAAAGTTCACCAAACACCAAGCACATCCTTTTGATCCGTTCTTGTGGTTTCTTACCACCTACTTACTGGTTTTTGGTGACTAACATAGGTACATAATCTTAACTGGGATTTTTACAATTTCTACAATATTTCTTGGTACTCCTTACTGAAATGGGTTCCTCAAAAAGCAGTTGGTGAGGATATTAGAAAACTGCTGGCCCAATATATATGACCCACAGCTATCAAGGCAGAAATTGGTTGAGCTTTTTTTTCCTTGAATAGTGTATTAATTGAAAACTAGAATAGATTTTGTTGGGTCGGTTCTGTTTTTTTTTTTCACTAGAGTGTGGTACTTTACAAAACCATGCCTTTTTTGAGGTAGACTGCCACACAGTGTTCTTGGAATATGACAAATTTAATTTGGATTTTGAGAAAGGCTTTGGAGGACCAGATAGAAAAAAGCACAAAAGAGGAAAGGTGACAGAGGGGGTCAAGGCCAGAGGAGGGAGACAAAACACACCATGAGATAAAATAAAAAAAATATTGTGATGCGATACCGTTGATCCGACAAATTTTAGAACCACCTAATTTTCTTCCTCAACAGAGTGACAAGTCTTATGAATGAAGGAATCACTGAGTTCTTATCCTCAATTTGGCCCCTAACCTTGTTACAATCTTCCTATTCTTACAATTTTACAATTATCCCAACTTGGAGAAACATTTGCCTTCCCACTCTCTTCATTTGATTTAAAACAAAGAACCAGGCCAGGAAGAAGTGACCAAAGATTTTTCTTCCTGACCCCTGAGGTACCCTCAATTTAGGATAAGGAAATATACCATTTGTCAGGTTTCATGGCCCTACTTTCTTTGCTGTTCAGTTTCCAGTTTTTAAGTGTTGTGCTTCCATCCTGTAGGCATAGGTATAGAAAGGAAATCACACCTTGTTTTTTTAATCCTTTTTATGGAAATTATATACAAGAACTGCCTGTTCCTCTAGAAATCTTTTTAGAGTATTATAGAGACCCCTCTTTTCTCTTCCAGACCTGGGAATGTTCTACCTAGAATCACTGACTTTTAAAAATTGGGCCAAGGCTTTTAGCTGCTTGACAAGTTTTGATAGTAACGTTCCAAGATGACATCACATAATTCCTTTCACTCTCAGATAAATGTTAACTGAATGAATAAAGGCAACATGTGGAAGCAGCTTGAATTATCTCTGAGAAGAGAGAAGAGTTGGAACTGGACTCTATGGTATTACTAGAGCAAATACAGAGTCTAATAATCTAGGTTGATTTGGGTCTCATCTGAGATTACAGAAGGTCAGCCTTTCTGATTGCTTTCTTTACAAATAGACAAAAGTAAGAAGAGCCTTTGTCAGATCTTAGAGGAGTAACTGGTTTTCCTTTCTCCAGGATGGAAACATGAGGGGTTACAGAGGAATAGTAATTTATTTATTCAGCAGCTACTGTAGGTCATTCTCTCTTCATAGGCACCATGAGACCCAGTATGAATCTCAACCAACTCTGGAGCTCAGCACATGTATAGTGGGAGAGAGAGAGCAATAAATAACAAATGCACAAAGTGTGTCAGTTTCTAGGGTAGAAGTCTAGCCCAAGACAGTGATTTCAAAGAGGAAGTGGCTTTAAACTGAGCTTTGGAAAGAAGAGGTGCTTACCAGCCAGATACGTTTAGGAAGAAACCTTCCAGGTAGGGCAGTGGCATGAAAAAAGGCACACAGGCTTGGGACAGACATGGTTTCCAGAAAGTGCCATTTTAAAATCAAAATAGGCTGCACTTTCTATTGACTTCCTGGCTTTTGCTGTAATTATGACTACCTTATGTCTCATAAATAGCAGAGTAAACAAACACTAAAAAGACCGTTCTCCACTGATGTCCAGATGTTATTTTTTTACCCTTAAAATCATTCCATGTCCACGCTGGGGACAAAATGGCTTTAAATCAGCAGTTAGAAGCAAAGACCCAGGCTGCACCATGCACACTGAATCCTGGAGTTACAGATTGTAACAACCTTACTTAAAAGCCTCATACATTCCCGAGAAGACAGACACACACACACACACACACACACACACACACACACACATTTAAACAAACCTTAAATTCTAATAAATAGCTCAGAGCTTTGCTGCACCATCTCAATCATTATAGAATAATTTTTTTTCAAAATCCAACTATACTGAACACTAGCCAAATGCAGATAATTATAGGGCACATTGTCTAATTATGCAAATGCCACCTCAGAACTATCTTAATTATGGACTCATTTCAGATTTCTGTCTGTCAACAAAGTAGTACAGTGCTGGCTGTATTTGTGGTTGTTTTGTGGCTTCGTTTTCAATTGCCCTTGTATCGGGATGCAAGGAAGCCATGCAGGTTTAATGGAGACTTTCCAATCCCTACAGCTGAAGACTGCCTCCTCAAAGCTCAGTAAAGCTCTTATGTCATTATGGATAGGGGGAGCTGATGATTATCCTTCTAACCCATTGGTGCTCATTAGCTAAGTAGAATTTTTAAAACTAGAAGCTTAAGGAAATGTTCTGAGTGAAGTTGAGGGGCTGATGAGGCGACCCAAGACTTTTCCATTGGAATCAGTCAAAATGATGCCGATATTCTTGTCCTTGGCTTCATGTCCCAAATATTGCCCTTATATTTCCTCTAGTTCTTTAGCCTTCATAAAGCAATTTTTCATTATATTTATTTTCTCATTTGATTTCTACAACAAAACTATGAGATACATCTTGTAGTAATATTCCATTTTACAGATGAAGTAGCTGAAGCTCCAAGAGGCAATGTACCTCGCTGACATGGTGGCACTGCAGGTCCAACCAAGGCATTTTAATTCTGAATCCCGTACATTCCCACCCTCCCCTAGAGTTTGTAATCCAGGCCTCTTCATGTTTTATCTGGAATATTTCAACTATCCCATCTACCTGTCAAATTAATATAGCAGCAACCTTTATATAGCATTAACCATGTCCTAAGCCTGATGTTAAGGCCCTATATAGTACATTAACTGATTTAATCCTCTGAACATCCCATGGAGATTCACTATGTGATCTGGAAGAAATCACTCAGTGTCTTTGAACCTCAGTTCTCTCCTATGGAAAATGAGTAGTTTGGTTTCAAACAGAGATGGCAAGTAGATTTTAATCAAGATTACAACTCTGACCATTTGGTAATATCTGCCTGAAGAGTTGTCCTGGAAGTACTGAGGCCAACTTAAGGCTCTGCAGTAACTCAGGCAATGACCCATTGTGATGCCGGTCAAGGACATGGGATGGGGGAGTGACATCATGTGCTACATACTCGCCATCTATGAACCACGGGGACTTCAAACCCTTCCTTAACACTAACATTCTATGACTCTAAGAACCTAATTTATTCTTAACAACCATCAAATAGAGGCACTAAACTTAGAATATTAAATGTACTATCCCTGGTCTTCTCTTCCCTCCTCTCTCTTTTCTAGTTTCCAAAAATTCCGAAAGAACATCAACTTGCTTTTCTCTATCATAAGTGCATATCAAGGTCTTACTCCAAGTCCCTCTTATTGTGACTTGCTTCCAGTTCAAACACCAGGTGTTTCATGGAGATTGTTACAAAGGCTGTTTCCTGCAGCTGCAGATGCCCCCACACAGCACTGCTGCTCTCCCACTCTCAGCCATGCAGTTGCAAAAACAAGACCAAGTAACAGTTGGTACCCTTTTTTTTAATATATTTTATTGATTTTTTACAGAGAGGAAGGGAGAAGAATAGAGAGTTAGAAACATCAATGAGAGAGAAACATCGATCAGCTGCCTCCAGCACACCCCCTACCGGGGATGTGCCCGCAACCAAGGTACATGCCCTTGACCAGAATCGAACCTGGGACCCTTCAGTCCGCAGGCTGACGCTCCATCCACTGAGCCAAATTGGTTAGGGCCAGTTGGTACCCTTTTGTTGGCTGTTCTTCCCAAGTGCCAAAACCTCCGGAACAAAAATAGAAAAACTACTACCATTCACAATTTTATGGAGATAACACAACTACCTTTTTTTTAAGAGTTGATGTTTATAGGTGGTGTTTACAGGTGGCCCCTCAGTGACTCTGACCCAGGTCAGCAGCTATCTCTGCCACCCATTCTTTGCTCATTGGTAAGGTCTGCTTCTATATTCCAGCCCCCAGAGAATTCTACATGTCTTGCCTTTTTGAGACAGTGTCATATGCTCAACAAGGAGTCAAAAAAGTTGTGATTTTAAATATTGACTCCACTACTTACTACCTGAGAAAACAGGCCCCATTATATCTTACCCTCAGCTACTTCATCTGTAAAATGGGTTATCATCAGAACACCTACTACAAAAGAAATGGCTGTGAAAGCCCTTTATGGCCTGGAAAGTGCCATACACACATGGATTATCTTTCCTTCATTGCTGTGACTTTTTTCCCTCTGCCTCTTAGTCTTCTTTCCATTACCCATAGGGCTTTTTATTCTTGAACATGAAAGTGAAAATTGGTTTAAGGTGCTGAATTCACAGCTATTATGTGATACCAACCACCATATCTTCCCTAGAAACTTCTTTACATAACACCTGACTGTCGCAGAGTCATTAGAATTGGGATGGGCCTTGACATAGGGATGTTGCCACTGCTAGTCTTACTGTTCTAAACAAGAAGCAGTGCCTGGTGTAAGTTAGAAAGTAAACCAAAAAGCAATCGATAAACAAAGAACTACAGATCTGTCTAACAAAATTAATCAAAGCTATGTTGCTTTGACCTAGTTTTCTGAATCACAAATTATACGGACTGACACCAAATACCTTATTTAGAATGATTTGCAAGACCACAGGAAAGAGATTCCTATGGGAACATAACGTGTTATATTCATTGAGAGAAAACCACACTTCCTAAAGTGAAAGCAAATAGAAACACAAAGTAGAACCTAACCTTGGCCTCATTACTCATCCTGTTTTCTACCACTGAAATCAGAAGGCAAATTTATTGACATCATTATGTTAAGTGCTGGAGACACAGTAGTAAATGAAACCCACTCCTTGCCTTTATGGAGTTCCCAGTCTAGTGGAGGGATATAAATATCACCTGATGTTTAAAACTTTTGTTAGACCATAGTTAGTATTCTCCTTTTAAATTTTAATCATTCCACCTAAATTTCCCTGTAAAAATAGTCTATTCCCAAAGCTATACTTTCCCCCAACTATTTTACACCTGTATTTTGATTCCTATGACCTCTACCTCTCAGGCTTTAGATAAGTGGGAACCAATCACTTTTTTTTTTGCCTCGCCTCTGTAAATGTCAGTTTTATTAAAATGAATCATTTTTCCTGAATTTTAAAATAATGTGAATCTGACTCTTCACATACCAAACCCCTGCCCAGATGTGAGAATGTGCCCTGAAGACTTCTAGGGAAGCTATGAGTAGATGCCACTTAGAAAGAACATCAGGCCCACTCTCCATGCCTTTAGGAAATAGGTTGGCCTAGCGGTGCCATTCTGAGAATAGGCCCTGTTTAAGGGTGACGTAAGTATGACTTAGGCCAGGGCCATTTCTTATGCTTATAAATGTAAGACACCCCTACCCAACCCCACCTACCCAGTCTCTAGGGAAGACATCTGTATTTCATAGTTTTCTCCACATACTTGCTTAATTTCCCCAAATCTGTTGTCAGTCTGCAACTGGCTGTGCTATGAACTCCTTTTATGAAATGAACTCACCTGGTCTGGTGCTATGGCTTTTGAAGGAGGAACATGTGGTGTTGACAGACGGAGAGTGTTTGAGGGGTGATGGGAAGATAAAGCAGTAAGACTCAATGCCTTTTGGTTTCAGGAAAAACTACCTCCTCTGTAGGACAACAGACAGGAAGCCCTTTTCAACAGCCCTAAACTATTTCCCATCAAAGGTTACCCCCAGCCTAAAGCAAATAAAAGAGCAGACCCTTCTGGGTTTGCAGCTGTATCGCCTAATCTCATGCCCAGGTCATCAACTGGATAAAATAGTTGATTGAAAAAAATATTTGCCTAAAACCAATTTACCTTCCATGGTTATTTGTTGGCTTGAGGCCCACCATGAATCAGAAGGCTGGTGGCAAATGACAGGATAGTTACCCCCGGTCTAAAGCAAATAAAAGAGCAGACCCTTCTGGGTTTGCAGCTGTATCGCCTAATCTCATGCCCAGGTCATCAACTGGATAAAATAGTTGATTGAAAAAAATATTTGCCTAAAACCAATTTACCTTCCATGGTTATTTGTTGGCTTGAGGCCCACCATGAATCAGAAGGCTGGTGGCAAATGACAGGAAGGGGCTGACACTTTTGCTACATTGTCTTTCCGAGTTCTTTTCCCAGAGTTTCATGGCTAGATTTAATGGCAGTTATCACCAAGGACTTAGGGGACTCTTTAATTTTTTACCTTGATTGACTCAGCATTTTCCTGATGAATTAACATTAGAGTAAAATCCTTAGTGTCCAGTAATATATGCTGAGGAAGTTTTTGTATCATAAATGAAGCAAGCAGACACTTGCTTTTGAATAGTGTGCTTCTTTGGGAAATAAAATAGAACATGAAATAAAAGGTCCCAAAATTCTGATAATCTAAGCAGCCAACTATTGGATGGAGCCTGTTTTTGAACTAGATGATCTTGTTTTAAGTAGTAATGCTGGGTGTAGGGGCCATGGCGCTCCACTGCTCAGTGTCAGAGGAAAGGCAGCCTCAGAAGCCACTGCCCTGATGAGCTGCGGACAACTAGCCTCCATTCGTTATCTAGAGGCATGGCCACCGGTAACCTGACACTGTGATAGTGCTAAACAGTTTTATGAGGATGAAGGGAGTTTTGGAATCAAACGAGAAGAGAGAGTAAGGAAAATGAACCCTGAACTGTGCCTGTTTCCTGTGCTTCAGAGCAGTGCTTGTAGCTGTAGTATATGACTGGTTGTTAGTCCACTGTACATTTCCTTTCTTCTCTTCCCAGGAGGGCAAGAAGACTTCATTCTTTCTTACGAGCCTGTCTCAAGGCAGGAAAGTAAGTTTCCCTGCATGCTCTGCTTCCTGAATTCCAGGCCACAACAGGTGACACCACAATAGGAGGGAAAGAGTGAAGGAATAAGGAAAATAAACTCTGCTTAATGCTCAGCTGTCCCAGGACACATGCTCTCTCTTTTGCCCTATCCCCAACACACACTGCTGAGCATGGAGGAGGGCGCAGCCCCTCCAGATGAGTGGTCCTTAATGGAGAGCCCCGCCTATAGCACTGGATACAATCTCCCAGGAGACTGAAGACAGCTCAGTATTGAGAAGGGCTTTCTAGCAGACCTGTCCTAGGTTACAGGTCATCTGTGGGCTGCTCCAGGAGCCTGCCTTTGCTTTTCCTGGAAGCATTCAGACAGAAGCTAATGGCTGTGATATTGTAGAGAAAATGCAAGCATCAAATGGGGAGTTGTACCCAGTGAATTTCACAGTTCCCTCTAACCCAGCCGTGGGCAAACTACGGCCCACGGGCCGAATCCGGCCCGTTTGAAATGAATAAAACTAAAAAAAAAAGACCGTACCCTTTTATGTAATGATGTTTACTTTGAATTTATATTAGTTCACACAAACACTCCATCCATGCTTTTGTTCCGGCCCTCCGGTCCAGTTTAAGAACCCATTGTGGCCCTCGAGTCAAAAAGTTTGCCCACCCCTGTAACGAGCAGTGCTTGTAGCTGTAGTATATGACTGGTTGTTAGTCCACTGTACATTTCCTTTCTTCTCTTCCCAGGAGGGCAAGAAGACTTCATTCTTTCTTACGAGCCTGTCTCAAGGCAGGAAAGTAAGTTTCCCTGCATGCTCTGCTTCCTGAATTCCAGGCCACAACAGGTGACACCACAATAGGAGGGAAAGAGTGAAGGAATAAGGAAAATAAACTCTGCTTAATGCTCGGCTGTCCCAGGACACATGCTCTCTCTTTTGCCCTATCCCCAACACACACTGCTGACCATGGAGGAGGGAGCAGCCCCTCCAGATGAGTGGTCCTTAACGGAGAGCCCCGCCTATAGCACTGGATACAATCTCCCAGGAGACTGAAGACAGCTCAGTATTGAGAAGGGCTTTCTAGCAGACCTGGCCTAGGTTACAGGTCATCTCTGGGCTGCTCCAGGAGCCTGCCTTTGCTTTTCCTGGAGGCATTCAGACAGAAGCTAATGGCTGTGACATTGTAGAGACAATGCAAGCATCAGAGGAGGAGTTGTACCCAATGAACTTCACAGTTCCTTCTAACCCCTCACTACAAGGGAATGGGGAAAACCCCACAGAGTATAAACGGCATTTTGAGCTGAGGAGGAGAAATTATAAAAACATAAGTTTCTGTTACTACTAACAATTACTTTGTAAAGTCATTATCTAAACAATGGCCAAACAGCTGCTTTGGAATCTTTCTTCTCCCACTGAGCTGACTAAATGCAATAGTTGTTTTGACATTGTGTAGGCACAGCCTAAGAGCAAGCAAAACCCCTCCAAATGCTTCTGAATTTCATTGACAGACAATGCAGTTGCTTTTTTCCTGTTAATAAATTCCAGAAAGTAATCACAGCAAACAAACAGGTTCCATGTCAAACATCAATTTCCCAATGCAGGGCTGTATGGGCAATTTATCCAATGCAGTAATGCCCTCCGCAATTCTTATTGTTTGGCAATTTTACAGTCATTTCCGTGTCTCTCTCCTCATCTGCCTCTTCCTCTTCCTCACTACAGTAAACTACACTCGGCCAGTGATTATCCTGGGCCCCATGAAGGATCGGATCAACGACGACTTGATATCTGAATTCCCTGACAAATTTGGCTCCTGTGTGCCTCGTAAGTATCACTTCTCTTTTCTCTGAGGGGCGGGCGGGAAGGCCTGGCTCCCTTTGAGATGATAAAATGTAATTCTGTTCCTCCAACAGTCTCTCCAGTGATTCAAATATTTTCAGTTACCTACTGTCTATGCATCTTATTTAATGTTATCTGCCTAATGCTTTTCATCTATCCTGCTATGTATTGTTCTATATTTAGTGAGTATGGTATGTTCTCCACACTGACTGTGCTCACCAAGAAAGCAGGATGGATCCTATCCTTATAACTGTGATAGCATTTAAAATAGCATAGCATTATTGATAGGCATCGGTATGTTCTTGTAGATTGATTGAAATGCCACTGAAGCATCTTTTCCCACAGAATGAGAGAGCTCAGAAACAGTCTTATGTTAAAATCACCTCAAGATGGCTTAGGGCCATGCATCAGTTTTAAAATAAAACAAAATAGTCTTCCCCTGTGTGTTAATAGTCCCAGGTGTTGGGAGGATGAGACGAGAATGTGTATAAAACTTTAATGTCCCCTCTAGGCCATTACAGACTTTAATCTACTTTGTCACATGGACAACTATCAGGTGTCCTGGTCCCTCTAAGAGTATCCCTGCAAAATTCTCTCTGCACTACCTCCTTCCACCCACCATGTATTCCCTACTCAACTCACTTCCATCTTTCTCACTGTCAAATTAATGCATGGAAGCCTTCTGTGTATGTAGACAAACCCACCAGAAAATTTTAATTGATTAGCTAATTGAGCTCTTAAAACTGATCCCAACAAATATTTCTTTCTCACTCTACATTTTTAAAGCTCTATGCTTTGAAGTATCTCTTATATTTCAGTACTACACATGTCACCTGGAATGCATAAGAATAGCAGGAATTGTATTTGTGCAGTACATGAACAGAAGGGAACTAGAATGATGACTATATCTCGTGAAACTGTTCCCAGTGAGATTTCTGGGGAGAGATCCTGCCATAGAACCCATACTGAAAAAGACTCTACATAGAAATGCTCAAGTCAAACTACTTATAGCAACTTCCAGTTTGTTCCTTCAATTTTGAAAGAAAAAAGAAAACATACAATCTTTAAGTATCATTTTCATTTTCTCCTCAACCTTGCACACTCTTCTCTTACTCTTTTTTTAATTAATAGCACTATAAAATGATAATAAACACGTGTTCAATGTACGTGTTTACAAACACGTGTTACTACTTATACAACTTCCAGTTTGTTCCTCCAATTTTGAAAAAAAACACACAATCCTTAAGTATCATTTTCATTTTCTCCTCAACCTTGCACACTCTTCTCTTACTCTTTTTTTAATTAATAGCACTATAAAATGATAATAAACACGTGTTCAATGTACGTGTTTACAAACACGTGTTTCTAAAACTTGGAAATGCTAAAAATAGAGTTAAACAAGAAAATAAAAACATACAGAATCCCACACCGTACCCAGAAATAACATCACTGTTAGTATTTTCCATCTATTCATTCTTTCTATATGAGCATTTTCTCCTGTGGTTGGATACATATTAGATATATACAGTATTTTTTATTTAACATTAAAACTATAGGGCCAGTGCACAAATTCATGCACATTGAAAGGAAATTAATTAGAAGAAATGTTTTAATATTGCTATTCACCCTTTCTC